TGCAGCCCCCCACCCTGCAAGCACAGCCTCTGCCCCTCCACCCTCGCCCCAGACAGCCCCGGGGGGCTGCGCCGCCGCGGCCCCCCCATTTCGCAGCGCCGAGCCCATGCACAGAGGAGCAGAGGGAGGAGAGGAGCAGCCCCGCGGGGCGACTTACTTCTGAGCTCTGCAGGGACGGGGCAGAACAGAGACAAAACACAACAGCAGGTTTAATACCACCACGAAGAGTGCAGGGAGACGACAGCAGCCGCAGCACGGCCCCCCCTCGGCGTCCGTCCCCCCCAAGCCGGGCACCCCTCGGTTCCCCCCCAAAGCAGGAGGTGCCCGGGGGCTCGCAGCCCCCAGCCCTGCTCCCCGATGCGGGTGAAGCCGGACGGCAGACACGGTCACATCAAGCCTCGCTGATCAGGTACCCCCGGGGGTCACCCCAACGTTATCGGGGTCCTCATCGCTGGGAAAGCATCCCCGCAGTGGGGACAGGGACAGGGGACAGGGACCACCTGGCTCCCAACCCGGGGGGCCAGGCGCAGAAGGGGATGGAGTGCCCGGCTCTCCTTCTGGAGCCGCCACGGGAAAAACCTCCTCGTAGGAAGCAGGTAAAGGTTTGGCACTTACTGATGGATGGCTTGGAGGAACTTACGCTGGTGTTTCCGAACTTTGGCATGGTCGATCTTCTTCACCAGCTTGGTGTGTTTGTAGATGAGCCACGTTTCCCTGAGTACGTTGGCAGCAGCATTTTTCACCTGGAAGCACCGGAGCAGTGGGGTCAGGGACGGAGATGGCCGGTCCCGCGCCCAGCGATGCCGCGTCCGACGGGGCTGGGAGGGGGACGGCACCGGGGGGGCCTTACCCGCTTCGTTAGCTGCGTATCCATCATGAAGTTGTGCACGTGTTTCTCCGCTTTGGTGAGCTCTAGCTTTCTGGCAACGACGGCGACAACCAGAGCGGTGCAGCCAGCACCCTGCGGGCAGAGAGCCCTGCAGTGAGGGCTGCGGCAGGAGCTGGGGGCGCAGGAGCCCCCCGCCCCGCCGCACCCCGCAGGCACTCACCATGATGCCGGTGAGCAGGCACACGCCCTTCCCGCAGTAGGTGTGCGGCACCATGTCCCCGTAGCCGATGGAGAGGAAGGTGATGGAGATCAGCCACATGGCCCCCAAGAAGTTGCTGGTCACCTCCTGCTTGTCGTGGTACCTGCCCGGGGCCGAGCGCAGCTGCTGTCACCGCACGGTCCCGGTCCCGCCATGTACCCCCACCACGGCGCTGCCAGCTTTGCCACACGGTTTTTAGCCGCTTTCCCATCCGGCGGCTGCAGCCGGGAGAGTCCCCAGGCTCCCAGCTGCACCGCTGGCACGCAGGGCCCCAAAGAAGCTGGGGACACCCTGGGGACACTTTGGGGACACCAGGCATGGCCACTGCGGACACGGGCGGCAGGGAGGAGGTAAGCCCCGGGATGGCTGTGACCCCCGGAGCGCGGCCGGCTCGGGGGGCGGCTGGACGAGGATAACGAGGTGACGGGTGCAGACCCCCCTGCAGAAACAGCCCCAGAGATCTCAAAGCACAGGACACGGGTGTCACCGCCGGACCCCCCTGCGGGGAGGGGACGCTTGGTCTCTGCAGAGCGGGGGACGGTTGCACAGACCCAGCCGGAGCAGAGCACGCCTCGCCCCGCGAGCCCCCGGGGGGCCACCCCGGGAAGCTGCCCCCCGAGCAAGCCCGGGGCTATGAAGGGCCCCAAGGGCACCGCGGGCATCACCGCGGGTGAAGCGGGGGACCCCCCCCCCCCCGAGAGCCCCCCGGACCCGGCCCCCGCCGCTTGCCGGGCCGAGCCCGGCCGGGGAACACAGAGCAGCGGGGCCGGGCGCTGGGTGCGGCCAAGCCAGGCAGCGGGACGGCAGCATGCGGGGAGCGGCAGGGAGCCGGGAAAACCGGGTGCTGAGGGTGAGAAAAGGGAAGGGAAGAGACGGGAGCAAGCCGGGGTGGACTCAAGCGAGCGGCGAGGAATTTAGGATTGCTGCGTCCCTCCACCCGGCCCCCCGGGCACAGCCGCGCGGTTTGGGCTTGGAACCTCAGCCAGCACCGAGGGATGCGTTGGGGGGCACCGCACGGCCGGGGGGACCCGCACCCCGGGATGGGCTGGGGGTGAGGGCTGCGCCCGTCCCCAGAGGGCCGGCAGCTCGAGGACGTCACCCCGTGGTGATGCTCCCCGGGACAGCGGGGGCTGCGGGGCTCCCCACGCCCCTCCGTCCTCCCAGGGAGCACCCGGGACTCCCTCAACGCACCCAAACTGTGCACATTAAGGAGGGGAAACACCGAGCAACCGCAACAGCCAGAGCCGAGCAAAAGCCCTTTGGAGACTCAGCCAAAGCCTCCAGTTAGAAACAAGAAGGATCCAGCGGCTCCTTCCTGGCTGCTCCGGCTCAGCTCCGCTCCTCGCCGGGGTTTCCCCCTCCGGGGCGGCCCCGGGACCCGCAGTGATTCCTGCAGCAAGCCCACCCCTCCGAGAGCACCCCGAGAGCCGGGGCAGGGGGACGCGTGCTCCAGCCCCCCGCACGCTGCAATGGGACCCCCGGCTCGTGCCCGTGGCCGGGCTGGGCACCACGGCCGCCCCAGCTGGGAGGCCTAGGGGGTGGAAAGCAGCCCCTGAGGTTCCAAGTGGAAAAGGGCTCTGGCCCCTTTCCATGTCCATGGCCTCTTTGCTCCGGCCTGGGCAGCCCCCCCGGCCGTGGCCCCCCACCCGCCGGCTGCAGCTAATCCTAAATTCTGGGTAGCACAAGCCCGGGGCGGGGGGACGTCCCGTGCAGGACGCGCTGTCGGTCCCTGGGGTGACTCACAGTTTGTCCCTGCGAGCAGCAGAGCGGTCAGGGAGGGAAAACAAGAGCAGTTAATGCGCGTCCCGGGGGAGCGGCCGGGAAGGGGTGAGCACGGGCAGGGCACCGGCACGGGCATCCCGGCCGCGGCATCCCGGCCCCGGCATCCCTGCGGGCACAGCTGAGGACACGGGCCAGATCCTGCGCGAGGGCTCGGTCCCCACTGGGAGACCCCCAGCTCCTCCTGGCCGGAGCCGCCGGCAGAGAGGGGTTCCTGCCACGTCCCAGGGGGGCACGGAGGGGCTTGGGAGAGGTCTGGGGGTCCGGCCGCCCCCACCTCGCCTCGGCAAGCGGTTTTAGTTTGGCAAAACCATCGTGGCCACCACCCGTGGCACGAGGGTCCTGCCGGGTAAGCTCTGCCCAGAGACCGGGGGCCTCTTCTCCAAGGGGCCTCTCCTCTCCCCCCGGCCCCCCCGGGGTCTGCACCCTGCGTCCTTGGCTGCACCCAGCCCCGCGCCCCCCAGCAGAGCCCCGGGGCGGGGAGAGCACCCCACGTACCTCTCGCAGACGCGGACTGTCCAGGCAGCGATGATCCAGGAGGAGATGCTGAAGACCAGGAGGACGGTGCCGGGGCAGATGGTCATGAGGGTCTTCATGACGAAGCGGGTGTTGAAGTTGATCTTGTTGAGGGCACCGATGCTGCGGGAGGAGGCGTCGGTGAAGAGCTTGCTGTGCAGCAGCATGACGCGCCCGATCAGGTACAGCCGCAGGAACATGGGGATGGAGAGGATGATGTCCACGTCGGCGTCGGCCACCGAGGCGGCATAGGTGAAGGCCAATCGCGCCGTCCAGGTGAAGAGGTACTGGCCGGGGATGGGGTGGATGGCGCAGACGATCAGCTCCAGGGCGATGAAGAAGATGCGCTCGTAGGTCATGGCGATGCGCCAGTCGTCGGCGCCGTTGTCCACCATGAAGAGCTACGGGGGGAGAAAGGGGGGTGGCGGTGGGACCCCCCGGGGCGGCGCAGCCCCGGCGAGCACCCACCGGCGGGCGCCCCTCACCTGGATCTCCCTGGCGTGGTACATGACGATGAGCCCCAGGAGGATGACGGTCGAGAGGCTGATAAGGCATTTCAGTGCAAACGAATACGATGACTCCTGCGAGGGGAGCGGGCGGCGTGAGCCTGGCCGGACCCCCACCCTGCCCCCAC